GACTCCAGTCAGCCAACAGGTGAAAAGGAGGAACCCAGACCCAGACCAGTGGTCATTCCGTATGTTGAGGGAGTATCAGAGAAACTGAGATGTTTATTTTCTAAACATAACGTCCCAGTGGCTTTTAAACCCCAAAATACATTACGGCAAAGACTGGTTCATCCCAAAGATCCAGTCCCCCGGCACAAACAGAGTAATGTTGTGTATGCTGTTCAGTGTCAGGAGGGCTGTGATCAGTCTTACATCGGGGAAACTAAACAGCCACTGGCCAAAAGGATGGCCCAGCACAGAAGATCAACATCATCAGGCCAGGACTCTGCGGTCTACACTCATCTCCAGGCCAGCGGTCACTCTTTCAGGGATGAAGATGTTCACATCCTGGATAGAGAGGACGATGGTTTGAGAGAGGAGTAAAGGAGGCCATCTTTGTGAAAAGAAATCGTCCATCATTAAACAGGGGTGGAGGCCTCCGGGTTCAACTGTCCCCCTCTTACAATGCTGTGATTGCTAGTATCACTCAGCCCTCTGTGAACAGTAAACAGCCATCAGTGTGCTAATGATCCATTGTTAGGCTGATGGTCCTTCTTGAGCATGTGATCAGCTGGTTTTGGTTGTCAGCAGCAAAACTGGTTGATCCACTCTGAGACGGTGCTATTTAAGAGACTGAGCTGAATACAGCACCTCAGACTGAGGAAGTTTCTCGGATGAGAGACGAAACGTTTCTACATTTTTTTGTTGATTTGCTTTGTTTTGTTTTTTTTTGAATGTCCAGAGGACCAGATTTAACTTTTTTAGATTTTTCTACCTGGATTATTGAGCATGCATCAGGAGATTATAAATGCTTCTGACACCAATGGCCACCACATTGTTCAAGCCAAGAGCCATTGTCAGAACTGTGGGCTATAGAGCCCCTAAAGGTCAGATCCTAGAATCGCCCCTGATGTAAGGTTATAATTACATGAATTTAATAATAGGTCGTGATGTAAAGTGGGCCAGTCTGAGGCTGAAGATGAGTTCCACTCCAGCTGGTTTAGTGTAAGGGTCAGGGTTAGGCTACAGAAATTAATAAAAAATGAATGGAAGTCAATGCAAAGTTCTTATAAAGATAGAAAGACAAATCCAAAAAAGTTCAATCTGGTCCTCTGGACATTCAAAAAAAAAAAAAACATGTCCAGAGGACCAGATTGAACTTTTTTGGATTTTTCTACCTGGATTGTTGAGCATGCATCAGGATATAGAAAGACAAACTTGTGTGTGTGCGCGCGCGTGTATGTGTGTGTGCGTGTGTGTGTGTGTGTGTATTGGGGGGGGGCGTGCTGTAACGGGATTACTTAACATGGACGGACTGTGCTCGCTGAGCTGACCGGCTTCGCAGCGTGAGCTTCGCTGCCATCTTCTTCCTGCGGCCTCTCGCTGTCTGCCTCGTGCGCGCTGGCAGCGCACCGCGGTCACATCAAAGAGACTGAAAACACCGCTTCGAGCAACATCTTTGAACTACTTCGTCCTGTGTTGAGTCGCCTCGAGACAGAAAGCACAACGGAAGCTAGGACGTAATGCTTTTCAAAATAAAACATTTATGTTTTATAGCTGTGATGTACGTTGCATAATTCTTCCTTAAATTATTATTATTATTATTATTATTATTATTATTACGATTATTATTATTATTATTATTATTATTATTATTATTATTATTATTATTCATATTTATCTTCAGTTTTTGAATTAATGATATTAATAAATAACAGAGAAAATCAAAACTGGAAATGAAAACAAATGTAAAATTGAAGCTCTGGTATTCTGAAATAAATGTATATCACCAGCTGCCTGGAGTTTTAGACAACTGGATGTTAAGATTTTTCTGAATGTTTATTGAAAAATATCAGAGTTGCGGTTCCTCAGACCTCATGTTAAAGCTACAGTTATCTCCATCCATCCATCCATCCATCCATCCATCCATCCATCCATCCATCCATCCATCCATCCATCATCTTTACCCGCTTCTTCCTTTTCGGGTCATGGGGGTCACTGGTGCCTTTATCCAGCTACATGTATCACTGTACGAGAGGCGGGGTACACCCTGGACAGGTCTCCAGTCCATCACAGGGACACATAGAGACAAACAACCATTCAGTCTCTCACTCACACCTAGGGACAATTTAGAGTTACCAATCAGCCTAACATGCATGTTTTTGGTCTGTGGGAGGAAACTGGAGTACACAGAGAAAACCCACGCATGCACGGAGAGAACATGCAAACTCCACCCAGAACGGTCCCCAGCCAGGATTCAATCCAGCGACCTTCTCGCTGAGGCAGCAGCTCTACCAACTGAGCCACCATGCCACCCAGGGGTGATTCTAGGATCTGACCTTTAGGGGGCTTAGCCCCCAGTTCTGACAATGGCTCTTGGCTTGAACAAGGCACCCCATGGCATGGTTTGTGAAAAATACAAAACCTTACAGCGCCTGATATTCCCAGGCGGTCTCACATCCAAGTACTAACCAGGCCCGATCCTGCTTAGCTTCCGAGATCAGACGATATTGGGTGTGTTCAGAATAGTCATAAACAAAGAGCTCAGTCATAAATAGGACTTTTAAAGGATCATAACAAAAAAAAAACTAAACTTATGCAACCAGAAGTTACAACATATATCTACATAAAAACATACAAAACAAGCACAACTAGCTTTAACCTTTAATTTAACCATTAACCTCTGACTGCAAAATATTTGTAATGGAAAACCCTGAAAATGATGTTGGAGGAAAACCTTGCTCCTGCAGGTAAAGTGTGTTTACCTTCGGGACAAACTGAGGCCACTGACTGGTCAGTTGCTGACGAGAGTACTGGAATGATTGACAGGTGGCGCAGAGGATCCAACTCATGCAAAAAAATTCATAGATTTTACTGGCTCGTTTAAGACTGTCATCATCTATTCCATTTTAGTTTCAAATTTCTCAAATATTTTGGTGAATCCAAGAGTTGAGAACTAAGCTTCCTTACAAAATCCTAATAGTTTATTAATTTTTCAGGGGTGCTGAGTTAAAATTTAGCTGTGCTTGAGCACCCCTCAAAAGAGGCTAACATTGCCACTGATGCCACCTACAACCATCTCTTTCTTCTAAATTTCTCACCCATGTTTTATAATCTTTTACACCCCCCGACTGGCCCTTGGTGGCACCCCTGACTATGGATACTTCATGTCCTTGTTGTCTTCGTCATTACAAAAGACAATGATCTGAGGATAATCAGTTCTCACCGTTCCCAACTCAGTCATTGGGCGCATCGTCTTGTCAGCGATGATGGTCCGTGTGATCACCAGAATCTGAGAAGTTTTCACTTGAGACTGGAGATCCAGCTGTCGGTTCAGGTACTGGTATAGTTGTATATCCAGTGTTCCTACAAAGTCTTCAGGCATTTCTTCATATTCAAAAAAGGCAGCTTCTTCCATTTCCACTAATAAACAATGGGACAGTAACCAAGTTCTTTGTTCTTCAGCGTTCTTTTGGAGTTCGTCGTGGCACAGTTGAGTCATGAGCCCCAGGACGGCTACTTCACCACCATAATCACCCCACTTCAGCCTGTAGAGACAAAAAAGCTCTAATCTAGTTATTTAAGTTTTAGGTCAGAGACATGGGTCCCTGGCATGTTTGGTGAAAATATTTCACTAAATAATATTCATGCAATATCAATATATTTGAGATTTGATAATATTCATTTCCCCTTTAAAATTTTAGCCTTATCTGTTGGAGTGAACCATATTTGTCTGTTAGCAAAATATCTCACGAGCCACTAGACGTATTTCAGTGAAACTTGGATGTGCATCTATAAATGATAAACCTTTGGATAAAACCTGTTCAAAGATGGCCACCACAGTGAATAACCATTAGCCAACACAAAAATGACAATAAAACTGTCAGTGTTACAAACATTTAAAATTAGTTGTGGTAGTAGCTGGTCATCATTTACAACTCTTGAGATATTACATGAGTGTGTGCATAATTTCAAGTCTTTCCCAACATAAGATGGTTCCAGTCTAACATTCTGCCTTCAGTTGTCTCTGTGTGCGAACAGTCAATGACATGACCTTCTCAGTGTTGCATAACACCCCTGCGTTTTATTTTGAAACTCCTGACAGGAAGCATCGTGTCCTAGTGTTTGAAACTTGATGGTGGTACCTGTCAGACCGGCACGGTTCTCCTCAGGGTTCGGGCTGCGGTGAGGCTGAGCTCCTGCCGGGGTTTGAACCCTCTGACTCCAGCTGTACAAACTGTTTTTTTATAAATGACCTCGCGTTAAAGGACCGCGCCGCCTCCTCTCCTGCACTCAGGGATTTATTTTCCACTGCAGAGCCCTGAGCTGCAATGACTGCAGCTGCATGAACTGAGTCAGTCGTGGATACCAGCTCCAGACCAGGACCAAGACCGGCAGGAGGAAGAGGAGGCTATAACAGCCAGCATGACCTACATACCACTGAGCTTAATGGACACAAGTCTGGGACATTTGGACACGTAAGACTGATGCACTGCTCAACCCTGTCCAGCAGTGATCCAGGACCTTGACATTCATTTGCTGCTGCTGCACAACTATGCATAAGAAGACTCGTGAATGTGCAAATGATAAAACAAAGAGCAAAAGTTCTATGCAAAGGAATAAGATCAGCGAGCTGACAATATATTTTGCTGACCTTCAGTTATTATCTGAGGATTATCAAAGAAGAAACCAAAACAAGAAGATACATTAACTAAGCAAAAGGATTGAGGGCTCTGTCTCTCTGTTGGCGTATTTCAGAACTAAATGACGTTGCTGCTTTTTGGATCTGCCTATGGATTGTGAGGCCTGTACTGGAAGCAGGAGTCAGTGGCTGAAAGTGAATTCAGTTGAGTGGTTCTATGACTTCTGGACACCGTGTATGGCCTCGGTGACCCTGCTGTGACTGGCACTTCGACATAACCCAGAACCACATGAAGACTTTTTGACGGCACCAGTAATCTTTCATCATTATGCTTCTGAACTGTGGTCAGCCGATGCCTCTTCTGAGTCACACAGATGTGCCGCCTCGGGTTACAGAAAACTTTATCCTGAGTGGCTACCGTTTCCCGAACTACAGCCTATGGGACTGCTTATGGTCAGCCTTCAGACCCACAAATGAAACTGGCAACTTTTGGACACACTTCCTGCCCGTTTTCATTTTTGCTTATTATTTTGTGGAGGTGTTTGGTTGGGATGATGTGCCTGATGCTGATGCCCCTTTCTTTTATCCACTGTGGACCTACTTCATTGGGGTGTTCTGTCTGCTGATGGCCAGCAGCATGGCCCACCTGCTGAACTCTATGTCTCTGGTAGTCAGAGAGGTTTGCTTCTTTGTGGATTACGGTACAATCAGTGCCTACACTGTCGGTTCATCACTGGCATACTACTACTACATTCATCCTCAAGCAGGGATAGTGAAAAAAGGAAACCACGATGACACCCAGATAGGTTTGGACCAAAACCACGAGAGTGTTCTTACATCTTACCAGTTCTTTGAGACCTTCTACATCCCGTGTGCATGTGTTATAGCTATCATTTGCGTCTTATCTTGCTGCAATACTCGCCAGAGGTGGAGGGAGCATCGATACATCATACGAACCCTGGTTTTCCTCCTCCCGTTTCTCATCTCTTCCACTCCTGTTTTCTACCGCCTCCTTACCAGGTCACCATACTCAAACACCTCGTCCTCCTTTGCTGCTTCCACCACAATGCCCAGTTTCTTCGTTCGCCACTCTGTCTGGCTGCTGGTGTCCGCCCTATTCAACATCAGTAAAATCCCCGAGCGGCTAGCCCCGGGTCGTTTTGACATCTGGGGCCATAGCCACCAGTGGTTCCACTGCTGTACCTTTTTGTCCATCCTTGATGAACTTCATATGATCAAAGCTGAGGTGAGAGCTATCCTTCTCCATCCTGATTTACTCTTGCCCCCCACCCAATTCTCACGCCTACCTGGACCTACTGTTGCTTCTACCTATGGAGTGATGCTCCTCCTTCAGACCACCATTGTCTCCATCATCATGTGGTTCTCCTGGCATGCTAACTGCATCTATGGGCCCCAGAGAGATCAAACAGAGAAGGAGCAGCCTAATGAACATCTAAAAAAGCAGTGATCGCAGAATTTATTTTATCAATGGTCATGACTGCGAAGTACCGTTTGCACATGCTTACAAAGCCATGCCATCATGGGAAGTGCACATAAAAATATTTGCCACTTGCACGTCAAATGTTTTAACCTCATTTGGACCTACTGTCAAGCTTTCATAGAGAGAAATTTGGGACAAGAGGAGATGAAGTGATTATATTCTGAGAGGCTGTCTGGTTGAGTTATATTGAGAGGCCTTGCCAGTTTTTTCCTTCCAGAGCTGCTTCAACATGTTCCAACAGGATGTCTGACTCTGGGGGATCATAACTACCTCTCCTGGCTGCACACTTCAGAACAGAAGATAGGGTAGCTACCTAAAGGAACAAATCGCTGTGACCTTTTGGTGATGTGGTTTAGAAATCCGAGGACTTATTTGTAGTCTTTTCTCTGAGGGTTTTCCAGGGCTTTTAATTCTGTTGCACTTATTTTTCCTCTGACTCTGACCTTTGTCTTTTTAAACAGCTGTTGCTATGACTTTAGTTGAACCCATTGTTTCATGCTGAAATAATCTCTCATTAAGATCGCTTTTAATGTACCTTCCCTTCCTATGACTTTCAGGAACCGTCCTAGGCGGTCTCATTTCCTCTTACTTGAGCCCTGCGGCAGAAAATGGGGAGGGTGGGTGTGGGGGGTGGGGGTGTTATAAACAACAGAAAATATATCTGAGACTGCATAAGAGTCTTATACAAAAGCACTTTCAGAGGGGCCAGTCAGACTAGCCCTTTCATTAAAAGCCATGCTAACTTTCACATCTAAAAGGATGCATTATATTTTTAATTTTATTATGATGCTAAGTTATTGATTTATTTAGATGTGATAATTGATGGTGCATTGGGTGCATCTGCTGCTCTTGTGGTTTTACACACAGAAAATGTTCACACTGCTTAAAGCAGCTGTGGTCGTAAACGTGATGTCAGTTTGATCAGCAGAGAGGACAACTGCTTTCTGCTGCACAGAGAAATGTTGTGTGTTTTAAATGTTAAATGTTTAAATGTGTTTTAAATCACATGCTGAAGTGCTAACATGTAATGTTATCTGATCTATTAGTGAAAACAGTCTGAGCAGGACTGTCAAACTGAAAACCTGTATCGTGAACAAAGACTAAACTAGGACAGTGAAACTAGCAGCACTCTTTACGGAGCTTCTTCTTGTCATGTGATATGCAACAACCTCCCAGATCTAAAGGGGAAGTTGAGAAAGTAGCTAAAAACGGCCATATTTTCATTAGGTCCCATGCACACTGGATGACCTCCCTGAAGACAGCCATAATGTGGATGGACTGCAGTGTTTTAGGTCAGCTGTGGATGAGTGGTTAGAGCAGTCATTCTCTAATGGGAGAGTTGGGGGTTCGATTCCACCAGCTGTCACATGCTGAAGTGTCCCTGGGCAAGACACTGAACCCCTCATTGCCTCCAATGTATGTCCATCGATGTATGTTTGTGATAAAGCTCTGATTATTCTTTGTAGAGATCTAGTATAGAGCTGTATGGGTAAATGAGGCACAGATTGTTGTAAAGAGCTTTGAGTGTCTTGATAAGATAGAAAGGTGATATATAAGTACAGTCCATTTTTAAAGAGGTATTCAGGCTTGTAGTAAGAAAGTGGGGGCTTCCACATTATGAGACACACAACACTGTTAGTGAGGTTGTGATGGTTTATCATAAAGTTCAAGATTTTTTTTTACTTCATCAAAAAATGAAGTGAAAACTGAATTTACAAGAATTTCAATGTTTTAGTAAGTTATTTTTTTGGGGAAAAAAAAAGCATTCCTCACTACCAATAAGTTAGTAACATGTAGCGTTGCAGCCTAACTTAATAATTAAAAACTGAAATCTGCACATTTAGATGACTGAAAGTGGAAGTTGATTGAAAATGACTGGTTGAAAACAGAAGGACCAGTTTGAACGCTTGTGATAAAGTATGTTATGGTGCACTTTAAAGCAAAGCTCCTAAAAAGGCTTTCCTCTTTAGTTTTTAAAGCTACGTTTGCACGTGTGTTCGTATCTAATCCAGTTCGGTTGTTTCTATGAAAAGTTCCCATCAAGCCCCAGCTTGTTTTTATTCTTTGCTCTGGATTTGATACAGTTTATGACTGTTGCAGATTTCATTAAGATCCCACACAAACCACAAACTGCTTACGTGACGCTAAAGATAATTTAAATACATTTTAAAAGTTAATCTTTATAGATGCACTTATCCAACCCTGGTTATAAATTAATGGAATGATGTGTGGGAACAGTCATTCCTGCAGTTATTAATTTAGAAACTCAAGCTGCATGTTAACTATTCAGTTATTTTGCAGTAATTCAGCTAGTTTCATCCCATTGTTGGGCAAAACCAAAGTTGTTTTTATTGCAACTTGACCATCCTGATTTCTGATGAGGTTCTCCTCATGTTGAACTGTGACATTAAAATAATTTCCAGTTTTATTACAAGAAAAATGCATTTGAAGTTGAACTAACGACATGTAATAACCAATTATCTTGAGAAAAAGAGCATAGTTATCCTAAAATAATGAGTAAATTAGTCATTATTTAAAGAAAACTTTATGAAGCATGCCCTTTTTTGGCTTCTGCAGTAATAAAAAAATTAAAAAGTAACATTTTGTGAAGTAATTGTCAATAGTTTATTAGTCAGAGTCTCGTTTTGTTCTGTTGGGCAGATTTAAGCTAAATCTGGATTGCAAAAAAGGCTAAAATGAATTATATCATTGCTACAGAGACAAATCTATTTAATGTTGCTTTAAAATCTACAATATATTACATAATAAGCCATGTTCTGGACTTTAAGGAACAAGGTTTTTATTTCAACACTTTTTTGTCGAGGCAGCTGAAGCGATGTTTCACCTCAGTCCTGTGGTCGAGAACAAATCAGACTTTATCTCTGTCTGGACTCTTGCACTTGAATCCATTTTAGTTTCAGCAGAACGTGAACGTCTTTATCTTATCTGCACTCAGGGGTGACTCCAGAGGGACTCCAGTAAATTATTTAGATGTGCATTTAATTATGAATTACTCGAAGGGTTGGAATTACTCGTGCTGAAAGAGTGACAATCCTTAGAGACACTGATTTATCAATTAGCATTAAAATGTACCAGTTTTACTGAATAAAAACACTCTGAGAACTGTGGGCATTCTGTTGTTTTTAAACAATATTTTACTGTTTTGTTTATTCATTTGGTTGATGAATAATAATGCTTTAAGGGTGTGTTTTATCAAAATATTACGTGAACCGCTGGCAAATTTAATGAAACTAGATCAATGTCATTTCCTGTGAAAATGCATCATAATAAACACTTAATACTGAATGTTTTTGTTGAAAGTTACTGAAGAAGCTGAAGATGTTTTTATCTCTAAACTGTTAGTTAATGTGAGTTGGATTTGAACGGCTGAAAGCAGCTGAAAAACAGAAACGTGTAGAAAAACTGAATGTAGCGGAATAAGCTGAAATAGGGAAGAGATGCTGAATAGATTACAAAAAAAAATCAGCAAATGGCATAAAAGAAACTGAAATGAGCTGAAAAAAGCTGACGTAAGCCAAAAAGTAGCTGAAAAAGCTAAAAAAAAATGAAGCTGCAATTAGCGGACAGAGGCTGAAATGAGTATAAACAGCTGGCAATATATTTTTTCATTTAGCCTTTATTTATCCAGGTAGTCTCATTGAGCCACAAGAACTCATTTTCAAGAGAGACCTGTTTAGGAGCAGATGGGGGTGAAGGGCATTGCTCATGGGCCCAGGGTGGGGTGAATGAGCACCCTCATTCATTTTTGATGTTGTCGGTAACCGGGCTTGAACTGGCGATCTTCCAATCACAGGCCCACCTTCTCTAACCTCTGCGCCACCACTCCCCCTAATATAGAAAAAAAGGCAAACACTGGCCAGAAAAGCAGAACAAAGACTGAAAAGTAGAAACACCTGAATTTAGGAGAAAGAAGCTGAAAAATGCTGAAGCAGAACAACAGCTGAAGCGAGCAGTATAAGTTTTAAACAGCACAAAGGGTTTGAAGGACGTGAAGAGAGCTGCAGTCATTTTCAACGAGGAAAACATGGCCGACAAAACCAAACATTTCAAACAGTACAAACATTTCAAACAGTACAAATGGCATAGATACCAAAAGTCACAGCAGGAATGTCCTGAATGAGCTGAACAGTTTGGTACATGAATTGCTGAAATCACTGGCGTCAGAATGTCACGATCCTCGAGGTTGGAACCCAATTGCAGAGAGATGAGTGAGGCAGGAGTTCAAAAACCAAAACAATTTATTTTTTTTAACAACAAAACAAAAGGCTGTCGGTGCAGCAAAACTTACTTTTGGCAGATTGGATCAGAAATAATGCAGAGCAGATCATCAGGGGGGCAGAAACCAGACAAGGCAGAAGAGGATTGTGATGTCTGTGAACATAGAACAATCACCGGACAAGGAGTGAAGGAAAGAAAGGCTTTTTATGTGACAGAGGGAGAGTTAGTAATGAGAGCACCTGGGCAAGTGGCTGATGAGGGACAGGTGTGAATGATAAAGACTGAGTGGAGAAGCAGACTGAGGAATGAGAGGAACATAACAGAAACAGATAAACAGAAAATCACACACAAAGCAGAACAACATAAAATAAAAAGCAGACAGAGACAGAAACTTGAAATGGAAAGAAATGATTTAGTTAGTGGGATGATTGCTTGAAGATATGAATGTTGGTTCCTGGTTGCAGTTTGAAGGCAGAGGCTAGGCAGATGGGGGGG